AATCTCATCCAATTAATATTTTCTTTCACTATTTGTTTTTAATTAAGTACATTGTGTTCGTTGCAAGGCTTAATGGGTAATGAAGGAGAACTGCACAATAAAACACAGACCGAACAAACTATATAAAATGAAATGAAACGTCCTACGTTTCTCCACCGACAGGACTAATGAAGACGGGCATATGCAATACAGTGTGCTAGCCCAGGCATCGGATTACAACTGCCAAGGGATATTTTACTACGTGCACACCAATGTATACACGGGACTTCGGATTTTCGTCCCATCCGAACGACTAGATAGCTGTCCTGCACCACTGACAAGAGGAAACCACGTCGGAAAATCCCGCTAAACTTTCTCGGGGCTAGCGAGCCAGCGTCTTTCACTTTTAGCCACCGAGACTTTCCTAATGACGACGGGGGTTCCAGAAGACTTTGTAAACTCATCAACCGTGAGGCCATGTGAACACCCCCAAATAAAATATAATTTAATTTGGCTTACCCGACATCGACTGATATCCATATAAGGAGCTCTGTTCCAGGTGTTCCTGATCCCTGAGATTGGTTCCTGTGTAGGGTTCGCCTTTATACTCGGGGTCGTCAAAACCACCAATAGAATCGACCCAATCTTCATTGTCAACACTTCGGCTCTCTAAATCATCCCCAGTTCTGTAGTTGTCGTACAGGTTGGCCAATTGTTTCATTCGGTACATCCGAGCTAAATCGTAATAGCTACCGAACGCTGGATCTAGAGACATCTCGGCCATTGTCAGACATACCCCAACACTCAACAAAACTATCAACTTCATCATGGTGGTACCTTAAAAAAAAATAGAGAAAAATCTTTTGATCCATTATTTATCGAGGATAATGACAGGGTTCTGGAAATGGAGTTTTGTGGGCGGTGATCATGTGAAGACGTCTGTTGTTAGTTTTGCTGTTGCGGTTGACGGTGGCGATGATGAATAAATGAAATGAGGTTTTTAGAAGGACAGCTTTCTAGTCGTTCAGATGGGATGTGCACGTAAAAGATCCTTTGGCAGTTGGAATTTGATATAAGAGTAGGCCGTAGCGCCGCTCTGCGGGCAACATTACCCTCATAGCACACTGTATGGCATACTCCCGTCTTCATTAGCCCAGTCGGGGCAGAACAGTAGGACGTTAAATCTCCATTTCATTATGAAATGAGGTTTAACTACCTACCACGTTTCAGTATCAACTAAGCTAATGAATAGGGGGATACGGTACAGAGTATTATTCTATGAACGTAATGGTGGGCCCCGGTTTGTCGTCCCGTTCGAATTAATAGACGCCTTTTCTTGCCAGACCCGCCGTCTTCCACCAATAACAAGCGAAACTTAAAGATACATTATGGGAGATTCGGTAACGAGTTGGCAGTTCTTACTATAATAATTAAAAACGAGATAATGTAAAGGCAATTTGGTGAAAATTTCATTCAAATTGATCCACTATGAACCGAGAACTAAGCGACTGAAATTCCCATAAGCCTCGGTCATCATTACTAAAGTCAGTACGATAAACAGCATAGTCTCGATTATCCATTTAATCGTTTAATCGAGTAGGAAAGTTATGCAGCATATAGGATTCTAATCCAGTCGATATCGAAGGCTAGCCTTGACATCGAGAGTTGATTATGGTCTGGATAAGTTAATTAATGTCTAATTAATAATTTAGATAAGATTTCAGGCCTAAAGAAAGACCTGAAATAGGCAGATTTAGCTCTTGCATAATGTATGTTTAACTAGGCTAGAAAGTCAGGAGAAACTTTCTCGACCAACACCGCTGTCTTGACAAAATCTACATCATAGCACACTGCATGGTCTATGGCGCAGGAAAGCAGGAAGTTAAAGTAACCCAATTTCATTTCATGACATTTCAGACCTTTTTTGAGGAACGAATATTGGCCGTAAGTGGGCTGTTTTATTACAATAATTGTTAAATAATTTCGCTCTGGAGATTGCCATGCAGGAATTAACGGTTATTACGTCCCAGACAGAGTATGGAAAGGTCAGCTTCAAGCTGTGTGACAATAAGGGTTCCATTAATCAGGTTTTCTAACATAGTAGACAGGCTTGGGTTTATAATATCAAGGAAATCATCAGGGAATATCAGATAAATTAAAGGTTCCATTAAATACAGTTACAATTAACCGGGTTTTCTAACAGGACAGATAGACCTGGGTTTATATTATAACAGAAACCGTCAGGGAATATATATTAATGTAATATTTATTCCCTATCAGTTAAACGATAAATTATAGTTTCAACGCTCAAGAGGGAGGAACGGGGGGGGGGGGGGCAAAGAGAGAGAGAGAGAAATGGGGTTTAACGTCCACTCGACACAAACTAGGTCATTTCGGTACTAACACATGGTTCAATTTTAGGTTGGACAGACGACCCCACTCCTTGTCACATACAACTGGGGAATCGAAACCACGCCAGTTGACTCAATGACAGGCTTTATGAAATGAGAGAGAGAGAGAGAGAGAGCGAGAGAGAGAGAGAGAGAGGGGGGGGGGGTAACGTCTACTCAACACAGACTAGGTCATTACTATAGACTAACATATTATGGTTCAATATTATTTCAATAATTCCCATTTCGCCCAGGGGTCTTTACCTGTGGGGTGAACGGTGGACCCGTAGATAACTCAAGAAGTTGGACAGGTGACGTGACTCTAATCCTGGTCAATGAAACCTGTTTACTGTTTATTCTATCAACATTTTAACCAATAACGCTCCATTTAAATTTGTGTTATAAGGCAAGTAGATTGTTAAACTCCCATTTCCATTTCGTCTTAATACGTTACTGATTTCCTCCCACTGCGCGCAAGCGAATTATTGAAATAAAATTAAACCATATGTCAGTCTCGAAATGACCTAGTTTGTGTCGAGTGGATGTTAAAATTAACATTAACGTCAAACTCAACCATACCACGTGCTGTTAGTTATCTGGTTTTGGTAGCCATAAAATATATTTTTAAGAATCCATAATAAACAAAAAAAAACAAAAAAAAAATGGCTGTTGTTTGAATATATGGTTGGTTTGGTTTTCTTTATTTTTTGGAAAAAAAGACGTGTCAGTTATCCAGTCATCAAACAAATGCGCGTGTTTTTCTCCGTTTTAAAGAAACTCGTGTTATTTCGAATGGGTATTGAGGAGGTCACATGTCGATATTAAAATCACATTAAAATAATGTAGAAACAGCAAATGGCAGAGTGAGAAAATCTTGGGTCTTTGAACAAATCTATTGCGAAAGGTTAAGAGTTAGAGAGCTTATATTGTACGTCATTACCGCCGGTCAATACTTGAAAGGAAGAAAATATATTTTAACCACATATTTTTATTTTGCTTTTCCACAATATTTATCCCGCAATATTTTGTAATGGGGTGATGACATTTCAAGGATATGTGAAAAAAAAAGTGTTTTTTCACCTTGAGCGCTTTCGTAAACATCGAACCTAGGCTACATACATTAATTTTACCATTCCATATTGGCATCTGGAATAACAGATATCCATAATCAAAGATCACACAATAAAGTATAGGCTATATTCGCTGATAAAATACTTACAAGTCCTGATACGAAATTCCTTTTTTGAAAACGAAACAAACCTACCTTATTTCGCACTGGTGTTTTCCTTTCTCAGTGCCTCTGCAATTCCACCGTGGTCGTAATGGCGAAGACTGACGTCACGATTCCGTCTTGATCCGCCCGCGCATTATTAATATGCAGATGTTAGGTCTTAATGACGGCGTGAAACACCGCCATTGTTTATTGGGGGGGGACAGCTCATTTATGATATATAATGCGCGAACACCTGCAGTCAAATAATCCAGAGATTATTATTGTTATTTTGTTTATATTTATCGGTGTGGACAGTGTTTTTATTTGGCTGATTGTTAGTCAGATGTAAAACTGTGGACATTATTATTGATTGGTTAGATTCTTGACGTTGGTTATCTTTTGTGTTGCCATAGTTACCAGATATCGATTATGTCCATGCTATAGCGTTTGATTGATTGTCAGTTTTGTCAACAAAGTCACGTCACGTTAGTGTGTTTTAATTTGGATCTTGGCAGCCATCTCCCTTTTCGCACTCCCGTTTCTGTATATAATACGCTGGACTTGATGGCTCAATCAAACTCAAATGGCCTACTTTGGCAAGTTTCTTCGAAAATAGGCCCTACTTGTCTACGATATCATCCTAGCGAACATTAACCTCACCCCACCGACATAGAATGGTGGATATTAATTAGTTCCGTCTTTATTAGCCCAGTTGGAGCCACGGTGGCTAAGAACCTTGGCTCGCTAACCTCGTGGTCCCGTGTTCGATTCTTCTTTGTTTTCTTTTCTTTTTTTGTTTAAAGGTCATCGGGATTTTCAGGCGTGATTCCGGCCTCCTTGTCAGTGGTGGAGGACCGAGGGCATCACAAGGGACAACTTACATGTTTAGTCGTTCGGATGGAACGAAAAACCGAGATCCCGTGTACACATTGGCGTGCACGTAAAAGATCCCTTGGCCATTGGAATTCGATATAAGAGTAGGCCGTAGTGCCGCTGTGCGGGCAAAATTTCCCTCATACATAGTGCAATCACTGTATGGCATATGCCCGTGTTCATCATCACAGTCGGAGAAGAACAGTAGGACGTTAAACCCCATTTGATTTTATTTCATTCATTAACCCAGTTAGTGCAGAAAAGAAGGCTCGGACGTTAAACAGCATTTCATTTTATTTATTCATAGTCATAGGTCTGCAATCTTTAAAGACGGCTAAAATAATTTTTAGAAGATATTTACAGACTATATATCGGATTAGTAAATTCTCATTACAAAGGGAAAGTCCCGAGTGGATCCATAAATGAATTACAAAGTTTTCCCTCTTCTTATCCAGCTTTACTTTTACCAAGCACTAAAATCACTGACGTATGGTGAACATTTTCGTTTCAGTGTAATTTCCAGGTGTATAATTTGCACGAAACCACTGTCCCGACAGTCTGGACAACAGAGTCTAAATTAGCCATGCTGGTTTGTTTTTGTGTTGTGGCAAGGTGACTTTTTATTTCATTCCTTTGACAGTTGATGAAATTCCAGAATGTCGAAAATATTTAATGGTGCCCAGCTTGCACAGAGCTTTACCAAGAAAGTTAAGATTCCTGACAAACTGAAAGGCGGAAGAATGGAGAAAATTGGGAATTATTTTCACAATATTTATACCGATTACAAAATGGTGTTTATCGAACTTGGCGAAGATATGAAAGCCAAGCCACTGAAATCCAGCATTTACTGCTCCATATTAGCAGCTTCCGCAGTTCTTTTCAAGACGAACCCTTCAGAAAATAGTTTTAGGACACTTATGGTAGAAAGTGCCAATGACTTAGCATTAGTTGGGGACCCAATTCGAAACACCTCGTCGGACAATTACATGCAAAATTTAATAAACAATCACAAAGATGGTCGAGTGCATTACGTCAGCCTTGGTTTATTTTCGTTAATTTATTTGACAGATTATAGAAATAGTTTAGGATTATATGCCGCAAAGTGTAAATATGTTAAACCTAGGTGGTCACAGTTTCATAAAAGTATTTTAGATGTTGGTGTTTTCGGACGATGGATTTACACAGAGGAAGCAATGAAGGATTATGACGTAAATCCTGAGGAATGGGTTGAATGAATGGATGTACAAATAACGCTATAGTATATCGAAACAAAGAAAAAGAGATTCTTAAACAATAACATGTGTAGGCTACTGTACACGTCAACTAACAGCGTGGTTGAGATCTGTTTCATATTGAAGGATATGGACAAATAACGCTATAGTATATCGAAAAAAAGGGTAAAAAGAGATTTTTAAACAATAACATGTGTAGGCTACTGTACACGTCAACTAACAGCGTGGTTGAGATCTGTTTCATATTGAAGGATATGGACAAATAACGCTATAGTATATCGAAAAAAAGGGTAAAAAGAGATTTTTAAACAATAACATGTGTAGGCTACTGTACACGTCAACTAACAGCGTGGTTGAGATCTGTTTCATATTGAAGGATATGGACAAATTACGCTATAGTATATCGAAAAAAAGGGTAAAAAGAGATTCTTAAAGTAGTTAAGTCTTGAACCCAATATCATCCCAAAGTCTTTGACATTGAAAACACAAATTATTTGTCAATTTAAATCAACATCTATGTTGTGATCTTACAGAAAAGATGGGCTTCTGATATCCAATATTAAAGACAAAGTAAACATTTTACCATTGATACACAAATGCTGTACCATAATGTGTTTCAGCGCCATTTGTAACGAGGGACTCGAAGAACGAAGCTAGACATATTCCACAAGTCATGTCAAGTCAAGTCATGATAATTGATATACACTAAATTGTGTCATGTGCTTGACTTTCCTTAAAGAGCTAATGAGTAGAGTGTGAAAGACAATTTAAAAACTGATAAAAAGTGTCATTGCATTTAATCAAATTCATTTGGGCGATGTTCTGAAACTTTCACCCCAAAAATTATCAGCTGTTTACCATAAGTATGCGTTATAGTTTAGTGATTGATATTGTTTGAGATTTGACTGAATACCAGAATCTGTTGTTGTTCATAGTGTTTAACGTCCACTTCCACCAAGGGTGATATTGCAGACAAGTCAATTTTTTCATTTTTATTATCTTTCCTAGTGGAGACCCGGAGCAAACCCACATGGTTGAGAAGGCATATCTCCAAGCCTCATACGCTCACACCAGGGATCAAAACCATGACCGCAGGCCAGAGGTGACCTACCAGCTAGAGCTCGAAGCGCAACACTCTAGACCACTAGGCCATCCCAACCACCCTTACCAGAATCTGTCCCCCACTCTCACTTAGTGGTGAGTTACATGCATTGAATGAGCAGTGATTAACAATTCAATGGGTTTATTTCTCAGAAAACAAGAATGCCTATGGTTCAAATCCAGCTCATGTAGAGAAGAACCACCAAGATTTTTCAAACTTGATTCTCACTTGTCAGGGGTGACTCCTATATGTAGTCATTCAGATGGGACAACAAATCAAGATCTACCAATATTGCACACATTGGCTTAAACATAAAAGTAGAAACATTGGCAATTGGATGGAATTTAAAGAAGTGTAGGGAGAAAATACACTGTCCGAGCATAGTATCCCCACCTCCTTTTATTGTACACATAACCTTGTAATGAAAATGGCCATATTTTAGACCCAAAATGATCAAAATATAGTGTTGCCAAGATATTTTACGCTGTTCCATTTTCATAGTATTGTTTCTGAAACATTAAGTTTATACAGAGAATGTACAATTCTTGCATCAATTAAATGAAAATCACATATAATTTTCATGCTGTACATTGTATGAAATACATGTTTAATAAAACCATATCAAAACTTAATGTAGATCCTGAATGTTATGAATAGTAGAGCTTTAGATCATAAGGCCTGTTATTGAATCCCCTGTTGTACGTGACAAGGAGTAGGGTCGCCTGTCCAACCTCGTGGGTTTTCTCCGGGTCCTCCGGTTTCCTCCCGTGCGCAAGCAAATTATTGAAATAAAATTAAACCATATGTTAGTCCCGAAATGACCTAGTTTGTGTCGAGTGGACGTTAAACCCCATTTCCCTCTCTGTCATTGAATCCAGTAGCATGGTTGCGATCCCAAGGTTGTATGTGACAAGGGAGTAGGGTCGCCTGCCCATCCTTGTGGGTTTTCTTAGGGTCTTCCGGGTTAAACTTTAATCCCACTGCCAAAGAGAGAGGAATGGGGTTTAACGTCAACTCGGCACCAAATGTGTCAATTCGTGACTAACATATGGTTCGATTTTATTTCAATAATATGCTAGCGTGTAGGGGTCTTTAACAGGAAACCGGAGAGAACCCCAGAAGTGGGACAGGGGACCCTACTCCTTGTCACTTACAAGCGGGGACTTGAAACTACACAACTTGACTCAATGACAGACCTTATAACCATTCGGCCCCCCTCCCCCCCCACTGCTTAAGACAACTAGTGCTATATGTTAGTCACGAAATGACCCAATATGTGTCATGTGGACATAAAACCCCATCTCTCTCCACCAAGTTATGGGCATTATTTGTAGCCTGGCATACAACTCTGTACTTACATATATATAACTACCACACCTTGAATCATCTTGGCATCCCAACAATATGTCCTAAATCTGAGGAGAAAATGATCTATGGGGGGGGTGTGGGAAAGGTGAATCAAGCTCATGTAACAGATGGGGACCAAAGGAAGCCAAATGGCCCATAGCTATAGCCTGTCCGCCCCTGATCAAATTTTCACAATAAAATGAAATTAAATGGGGTTTAAGGTCCTAATGTTCTGCTCCAACTTGGCTAGTGGAGACGGGCATACGCCATACAATGTGTGATGAGGGAAATTTTGCCCAGACAGCAGAAATGAAATGGAGTTTAACGTCCTACTGTTCTGCTCCTAACCTGGGCTAATGAAGACGGGCATAGGCCATACAGTGTGCTATGAGGGAAATTTTGCCCGGACAGCGGCACTACGGCCTACTCTTATATCGAATTCCAACTGCCAAGGGATCTTTTACGTGCACGCCAATATGTACACAGGACCTCAGTTTTTCTACCCATCTGAACGACTAGACAGCTGTCCTTGCCAGGCCCTCTGTCTTGCACCCTCTGTGTACATGGAACCTTGGTTTTTTTGTCCCATCCGAACAGCCAGACAGCTGTCCTTGTCATGCCCTCTGCCCTGCACCACTGAAAAGGGGGAAACCATGTCGGAAAATCCTGAATCGGCCAACACCAGAATCGAACCCTCGACCTCCAGGCTGAGCCAGCATCTTACTCACTTAGCCACTGTGGCTCCACCCATACGTATAAAATTTATAACACAGTGAACAATGTAACAATATATTGAATATAGGTTAATATATATCAGATAAGTAAATCATGGTTAACATACATTGTATAAATATTAAATTATGACAACAAAATGGGCGTGGCTTGATATGCTGTTATTATAATTTTGATCTTTCTATCTGGAAGCTGAGCAGACAACGTGGATGAAATCTGTATTAAAAAAAAAACAAAGATGAAAATATATGGGTAAAGATAAATAGCGTATATCACATTAGTATTTCAGTGGCGGGGGGGGGGGGGTCGCTACCGACGTAACAGTCGAAAATTTTGAAAGTTTGAAGTCGTTTTCCGTGCAACTGAAGGAAATATACTCGTTTAAATGTATAGGCTCCACATGTGTCGGGGTGGTGGGAGGGGGTATGACCTGGACACGCGACTGGGCAGCCCACACAATCCCTCATGAGGCAAAAAGAAACGGTGATGAAAGGACCATAACTCCGACAATTGCTATTTAAATGTTATAAAAGTTCATTATTCATGTGTAACTGAAAATTTAGAAATCGCGTATTTCAGCTGGAATTGTATATTTTTTTAAATCGAATGCTTGCTCTTTACTTTTATTCTAAGAATTTGATATGGCTAAAAACGGCGAAGTCCGTTCCTGTATCTTTGGTAGTCGACCAGATGAAATACGAGCAAGAACTATAATTGTTTGTAATATTGTGATATTCATACCACCCACGCAAACTTACAAATTGCCGTTATAATTGAAAAGATTATCTGTAAACGGCTGGTATTGATAAACAAAATTGACTCTTGGTCTTTGAGGTCGGAAATAGTAAGAGGGGCGGGAAAACCCCATGATATCACATCTAGGTCAGCTTTTTAAAAATGAAAAGCGGGCGGTGGCCGATAAATACTCAACAGACATTGCGCTTAGTAATGCTAGTTTCCCACTGTCGTGCGATGGAGTGTCCCTTTTGAGTCCACGATTTGGTACGTGAAGATACGTTCGGATACGTCTCGATACGATCTAGGATCACCACGATTTCAGTGGTAGCACGAATCGTGAAAGTGGGAACCTAAGGGGCGAAGAGTCGCGTGAAAAAATCAAATAAATAATCAATCAATCGTACCATCACATCTGATTCTGCCATTTCCATCAACCTCCAATTCTTGTAAGAGAATCTCAAACTCCTCATCGGTTAGTTTATCTCCCAGATTCGTCAACATTCGTCTTAATTCTAGAGCACTGACGTAACCACTTGCCTCCCGGTCGATAGTAGCGAACGCTTCTCTCAACTGTTTGGCGTAGTTTGTTCCCTGGAGTGGTTCCACCAATTTACGATATTTGTTAAGGTCAACACCTTTACCTGAAAAATACACAACGTTGCAACTAGTTAAAGGAGCTATATCCCTATTTTTTGGCACATAGAAATGGACACAGATATGTCGCAGCGCATATGATAGTGTAATATGAATGTGTATATAAACTGATTTATATTCAACTATGTTCGGCGAAGAGTGCAAATTGAATGTCAGTATTTGGTTATTCCAGTCTACACTGGTAGTATTCTCCTGTGGGGTATGTTTGGCCTCGTTCATCGAGTCGCATCATTACAAATGGTGCTCTAAAGCATTCTGGCACGCGATTCGTGTGCCAATTTTAAAATTTTCATTTTGTTTTAAATATTGGATATCAGAAGCGCATCTTTTCAAGGTTGATTTAAATTGACCAATAAGTCGTGTTTGCAATGTCGCAGACTGTAGATGATATTGAGTTAGCGACTTGCCTCCTTTAATTGCGTATTATTGGCCGAATTGCGAACAAGAATTAATACGCAAAAGTTTTGTACAATATCTTATTCTTGAAAGATTTCATCCTCCAAATATATAACACGCTAAATCGAATGATCACCATTGAAGGTCCTGTGTACACATTGGCGTGTACGTAAACTTGAATGATCCCCATTGAAACCCTATATCCACGAATCACTACTTTTGTTTTAACTATACCCTTGTACTCATTGGCGTGTACGTAAAAGAACTCTTGGCAGTTGAAATTCGAATTAAGAGTAGTTCGTAGCGCCGCTGTCCGGGAAAATTTACCCTCAAAGCACATGATATGGTGTATGCCCGTCGTCGTTAGCCCATAGGACGTTAAACACCTATTTCGTTTGTTCTAACTACAAATTGGCTAGGTCATTTCGGGACTAACATATGGTTCGATTTTATGCCAATAATTCCCTTGCGCGTAGGGGTCTTTAGCAAGGGGGGAAACCGGAGGACACAGAGTTAGGAAAATGTCGCGCCATAACAACATGAACTGTTAACTAACGTCCCGATGAGTTATTTTAGCGCGATAGAATCACTTGTGAAAGATAAATCTCAAATAGGAATAACAGTTTAAGAATGGTGCAATAATGTTAAATAATATTATTCAGATGGATTTAGATGTGGGAAATTTGATATTTTAGCGGAAATTGCCAATACCGTGTCGTTGCTTTATAAAAACTATTAAAACGCAAATTGTCGGATTATGAGGGATAAAAAGCTGCCAAACTGAATAACTGAGTTAAGTCCCTGCTCGTCTGTTTTCAATCCGATTGTTTTCATGTTGGGAGATTATCTAGCTTTGATACTTTGTTTTCCTGCCCGGTAAATACATTGTAATTCTCTGTGTCGCTATTCAGTTTACTCGCATTGTCTTTTAGGATAAATTGATACATATTCCCCATGCTGCTTTCCCAAAAAGAAATCTAAAGCTCCCGTCCGACGGGGGACAACTTCTGTATAATAAACAAGTTCGTTTATGGCTAGAACAACCCAAAGATTTCCAGTCTCATTAGTTTCCAGCGAGTTTCGTCAAGCTCCGGTCATGAACGGCTGATTCTGGTCACGAACGGCTGATTCCGGTCACGAAAGGCTGATTCCGGTCACAAACAACTGATTCCGGAAAAGAAGATAAGAGATGAAATGGGGTTTAACATCCTACTGTTCTGCTCCTATACTGGGCTAATGAAGACAGACATACACCATGCATTGTCCTATGAGGGAAATTTTGCCCGGACAGCGGCGCTATGACCTACTTTTATTTTGAATTCCAACTTCCAACTGCCAAGGGTTCTTTTATGTGCACGCCAATGTGTACACGGGACCTCGGTTTGTCGTCCCATCCGAACAACGATTTGTTGTCCCTTGCCAGCCCCCCCCCACCCCATTCCTGCACTTCTGACAAGGGGGAACCAAGCCGGAAAAACCCGATGAACTTTCTCGACCAACGCAAGGATCGAAAACGAGACCTCCCGAGTCAACGTTCTACTCATTGAGCCAGCGTGGATCCTAAAGAAGATAAGAGACGCGGGAAGAGAAACACTATGAATGAATGAATCTAATAGGGCTTATCGTCCTACTCTTCTGCTCCAAACGCGATATTGAAGACGGACATATTCCTATGGGACAATGATTTCCGGAACAGCAATGACTTCCAACTGTTATGGTCCTTTTACGTACACACCAAAGTGTACACAGGGGCGTGGTGAACCAG